GGTACTCACCAACTGCACGTAGGCCACCTTGTAATCTGGCTTTTTCACCCTCACCTGTCTGTGGTCCCGCCTCCTGCCGGAACCTGGGGGTGGCAGAGGGGTAGAAAAAATGACTCTCTGCTCTAAGTGCAATGGAGCTGGGAGCCCCCTTCTAGAAAAAAGGGGCTGACGTGTAATCGCTTGTCGTCGTCTGGCAAATGGCGGGCCCCCGGGCCCAAACAGGAACTGCTACAGACACCGAGCTGTGTCCTCGGGCACAGCCCTGGACGAGTCTCCTTGCTCGCCCTCAAAACTGCAGACGCCCCCGAGTAAATCAGGACAGGGACTCCCGGTGCCTGAGAGCAGGGTCACCGCCCAGGGGGACACAGGTCAGCAGGAGCGGCCCTGTCTCTGAGTCAGAGGAGGTGACAGGCTGCCAGGACTGGAGGCCATGGGGCACTTGGGGCTGCAGGGGCAGCCTGGGGAGCTGGCAGGTCACGGGGTGGTGGGGGACCTGGGGGGCTAGAGTGCCACAGGGACTGGCTGGGGTGCCGGGGCAGAGCCAGCGCTCAGAGCAGACTGGGGGGCCACCCTCCCTGAGCCCCTGTGCGGGCTCTGCCACCACGTCAGTGTGACCCTGGGCGGGTGACCTCCACCTGGTGCCTGCCTCCTCCTGCGCGCACTGCAGGGCCACGTGGAGGGCAGGACGGCGCAGAGCCCAGCAGCCCACACTCACCGTGCTGCACCCGCGTCCGCACGGCTGCCACCGGCACCTGGTAGATTCTCTCCAGGTAGTTCCTGAGGTCCACCCTGGTCATCCTGGTGTGAAGGAAACAGGAGTCCGACACAGGCCGCCGAGGGTGAGGGGTGGTGGGCTGCGGACCATGGGGCAGGGCACCCCACCCACACACGGAGTAAGGCCAGGCTGGGCCAGGTGTCCCTCCCCTTCCAACCACACGGGCACCTCAGTGACCACGCTGGTCACCAGGGCCCAGCTGTCGTCCACCTCACCGCCTCCAGCCACCTCCTGAGAGCCGGCTCCCACCAGGCTTGACCCAGTGGGCGGCACTGCCATGAGGCAGGGCACCAGGAGTAGCTGCCTAGGACAAATGGGCAAGCCATATTCCTCCCCACTGGGACCACAGTCAGGAAGCCTCAGGCCCCAGGCCTCGTCTGCCCTTGCCCTTGAAGGCCGCGGGACACCGACCCTCCATTTATAGGCAAACACTGACGCTCCTGACGCGGGGTCACAGGAGGACGGTGGCGCCCCCTCCAGCCACACCGTGCTGGCCCCGGTGGACTGTAAGGAGCTTGGCAGCTGCGGACACGGTCGGAGCCTGACACATTGGAAAGGCTCCTTGTTCTCCCGGCCCCCAGGAGCCTGGCTGGGGTACGGTGAGAGAATCGGCCAGAACACTGGAGGGGGGAACGATCTGCCACATCAGTCATTCACTGGGAGCCCCCAGGTGGAGGGAGAGCAGGGCTGCGTGCCAGGCGCCCCCAAGGTACTACAAGGCCGTACCCCATCAGGATCTGTCGAGCAGGTGCCTGGCGGCTCTCAGCTGGGGGAACCCACCCTGTGAGCCGGGTTATGCAATGCCATGCCCCCTCCCCGTCCCCTGCTTGGGCACTGCGTCTCACTCCAGGGGGATCCGGAACTGCACGGTGTCCTCGGGCTGCGCCATGCCGGGCTGCACCAGCTGGATGAAGAAGTTGGTGCGGAACACACGCAGCTGGGGGCCGCCCAGCTGGTACAGCGGGTACCTGTGGAGAGCGCTGTGCGTGAACACTCGGGACACTGCCCACCCCCAACCAGCAGGGCCCCCGCTGGGCACAGGCCCACTGGCTTGGGTCCCCAGTCCACGCTCCGAGGGGGAGGGAGGCCTGGTTCTGAGGGTGGAGTGTCCAGTGGGAACCAGGCCTGACTTGTTTTACCGGCGTGGCGGTGGTTCAGGCCCAAGGGAAGGTGGCCATCTGGGACTCAGGCCTGCCCCCTGGTGACCCACTGCGGCACTGCAGTGGGCGGACGGAGCTGGGGGACACTTGGGAACTGTGGACACGGGTGGGGAAGCCCCCGTGTCTCTGGATCCTGTGTTCAGGGCCTGAGGGACACACTTGGCTAGGGGTCTAAAGGGGCTGACGAGGAAGGCCCAGTTTGAGGGGTGTGCGGCGCCAGCTGGCCAGGAGGGGCTGGAGCCGGGTCCATCCCTCCCATGTCCTCACGCCCACACGGACCCTCAGGCCCCAGTCCTGGCTCTGAACTGACCCACACTGCTGATCCTCCTGCGTCCCCTCTCTTGGGTCTGGAACACACTGTCCCAGCTGGTGGAGCCGGCCCCTTTCCCTCTCCTCAGGGGAGCCCCCAGCCCACCTCACCCTGTCTCCACGGACCCACCCACCACCTTGCCCAAGGTTTCACCCATCCCCTTGGCCTCAGCTGCCCCTTGGGTATTCCATAAGCACCTCCAACTTCACTTATCTCGAGTGGAACTCTTAGCTTTTCCTCCCTCCTAACAGACTCTGGCTCCTCGCCAGCAGCCCTAGCTCCCCGGGCCCCACCAGTGACTCACCCCCACCCCACCCGCATTCCACCCCTGAGCAAGTCCCATCAGCCCCTCCAAAGCTGCTCTGGTGCACATGGTGGGGGGGGGGGTCACGGCCACACCTCCGCCCCGCTTCCTCTCCCACCTTCCATAGCCGCCCTCCCAGGCCCCTGCTCTCCATGCCTCACTAAGGCGGGCCCTCAGCTCGAGAAGTTTCGGTCCTCAAGGCAGAGCTTGCCTTGATCCCAGTTAAGCTCCAATCCCCACCCAGCCCCCAGCACCGCACGAATGTTTGCAGAAGGAGGCCCCATGGTCTGTACACCTTCACCTCCCCTGGCAGCCCTCTCCCTGGCCCTGCTCCCCCTCAGCTCTGTGCAAGGGACCCCAAGTCTGCACTGCCCACACGCCACATTCCAACTACCCACAGGGTGCCTCCCCATGGATGCATCCATGCAGCACATCTAAAAACATACCACTGGCCCCCAAAACCTACCCAGCCGCCAACATCCATTCACTCATTTATTGTCATTCATTCACCCAGGAACCCTAAGCGTCCCGTCTAAATTCCAAAACAGATGTGAAGGAGACAGGGCCCTAATCTCAGGGAGCTCTTGTTCTCCAGGACCCTCCTGGTATCGCCTGAGGCAGGCAATGTCAGGACGGGGACCCAGGGCTGAGCTGGGGTCAAACCTCAGAGTCTCCTAGAAACTAGAGTGTCTCTCCACTCCCCTCTTCCAGTGGAATCTAGCTCCAGTTCCTCTAACCAGGCCTCACCGCCTCGGCAGGACTGCTGACACTGGGGGGAGTCTTTCGAGTAGGGGTCCCCCTGTTCATGTGGGGTGTTCAGTAGCACCGCCACCCCAGTGCAAAAACCAAGTTTCTGCAGACACTGGCACATGTCCCCTGGGGGCAGAATCGTGGGTTGAGAACCGCTGCTGTAGGTTAAACACCACGGTGCTGCCCAGTCCAGGCCGTATCCTGCGCCCCTCCTCGCGGGCGGGACCCCCCACCTCCTTGAGGTGCCCCAGGTGAGTGCGTCCTTCCTGCCCCCACACTTGCTCAGGCCCTTCCAGCTGCTTGAAACATGCCTTTCTCTCCTCGGATCGGCCCCATGGCCTGTTGTCCTTCAGGCCTTAGCCTGGGCCCAGCCCTCCTCTTGGCCGCCCCGGGCCCCCGGAGCCCCACCTTCCCACGTGCCCTGGGCCCACCCCCACAGCCCTTCGCCTGTCCCCTCGAGGCGCGGCATTCCCTGCGGCTTAGGGGCCTGGGGACCGCCTCTCCTGCCCCCAGTCCCAATGCTGGGCCGGTGGGCTCCCCTGCCAGGGCCGAGGTCCCCCAGGGTTCTCCCGCTGGGGGTCGGGCCCGCCCCTCGCCGGGGCACCCCCGCTGTG